CCAGACTGAGTCTTATATGTTTGTGGAATAAAATATTACCCTTCCTGTGTGAAATGGAAACCATATGCTCAGAAACTGACAAAAAGGTCTATAACCATTGAAACTCTTGGGGACCGAGCAGGAAGAAATTCATTATGGCCCTGAGAGTGGACTTCTGCTTTTACCCAAGATGGATTAACATGAGTTAATTTAACCTCCTGCTTGAAACAGCTAAAACAAATAAACATAATATATGAAACAACAGTTTTCAAAACATTATGAATCAGGCAACAAGAGATGGCGATCCCTAAGAGATGGAAAACAACCAGGCTGAGCACCATCTACCTCAATACCTGGAGGGGGGGCCACGATGTGGCCTAGGAGGGGAAACCCAGGAGGAGCCTGGTAGGCTCCCTGAGTTCAGGGTCTGAGTTGAAAATACAGGGACTGTAGGAGAAATGTTTCTAGACACTTTTCTATTGGCCACAAGGAGGCATTATGGTGTCACCAATAACGCAGAGTTGTAGAGAATGTCCTTGATCCTCTCTGAAGTGTGGATATAAATAGAGGAATTGCAGGGCTTGACTTCTGTATTAAGGTGGAGATAGTTTGCAGCCATCAGTCATCCATCTGTGATGCAGACAGCAAGACGCAAAGACATCTCAACAGGTTTATAAATGATAGTTTAGCAAAAGCTCTTCCTGTGTTGAGGAACCTCTGACTTGCCTTGTAGGGTGTAAGAAATGAGGAGTGAGACAGAGAGGTCCAGATGAGCCTGGGGCAGATACAGGAAGGGGGGCAATATGAGGCGGCACCACCTCTACTCCACACGTGATCTGGCCAAGCCCCGGTTCTGCTGCCAAGCCGGAAGCTGTGTGTAATATCACAACAAGGAGTAACCCTTGCCTCGCTGAAGCCAACGGCAGACGGTCACCACGGGCAGATCTACCTGTCAGGGACCAGGGACTCTGCACGCCCATCTCTCCACCCAGAGATCAGAGTCTGGGGCAGACAGGTGCCCCGTTCCTGTTGTGGTCCTGCCATGACTCCCAGGCTGCTCCACTGTGTGGCCTTTTGTCTCCTTGGAGCAGGTGAGTCCTGGTCAGAAAGGAAGTATTTTGACTAAAGCTATCTTGTCCTCAGTCTTGTACCTTTCTTTTATGGCAGTAATAGCAGTCTCCTTCTTGACTCTGTCTCTACGGTTTCTTTCTCTCTCTGCAGGTCACATGGGTGCCATGGTCATCCAGAGCCCAAGATACCAGGTTACGTGGGTGGGAAGACCAGTGAATTTGAGCTGTTCTCAGAATCTGAATCATGACGTCATGTATTGGTACCAACAGAAGCTGAGCCAAGCCCCAAAGTTGCTGCTTTACTACTATGATACAGACCTTAACAGAGAAGCAGACACCTCTGATAACTTCCAATCCAGCCGGCCCAACACTTCCTTCTGTTCTCTCAGCATCAACTTGCCAAGCCCCGGGGACTCAGCAGTGTATCTCTGCGCCAGCAGTAAAGACACAGAACTGCACTTTTACCTCTCCCCTGTGCATAAACCTCTCTGTTTTCTGGATCCAAGAGCCTCCTTTAGACCATTCCACCTGCCCATCCTACGACAATAGTAAGAAGCGGGTTTACGGCTCTCATTACTTCATTTGTAGACAGAAGCTGGGCAGAAACCTACCCAAACCACGGACAGTTAGGCCAAGAGTGGAAAAGTGGTTACACTCACTCAGCGTTCGATTTGTGGTATTTTCCCAGGATCATCTTAGTCACCCATTCTGTTCTGTTCAGTACATAAATAGGAACTTTTTAAAAATTGTTTTGTTTTTTAACATAATTGGTGACCTAGAAATATGAAAACAGGCAGGCCGGTCCAGACAAGGGGTGGCCCCACTCTCACGAATCCTTGCTGCAGTCTCATGGTTTTCTTGTCAAGTAGGGAAAATTAGAACTGCTAAAAACTTGTGCCAGTTGTGAAGCTGAATGAACTGCCTGGCACATGTATTATTCACAGGGTATTTAACTATGTTGCATGATATAAATTTGCGTATGAACCATTTAAGTGGCACACAGATAGGACACATACCCAAAACTAGATGTGGTGCTTTAAAAGAAATATTAAAATGAATAGAATTTGCCCTACATTTTTTTAATAGTAATAAAAAAAATATCAAGTACGGCAGCTTGTTTGAAATAAAAGGGGTTTCTGGAATGTATTAGAACAGCTTTCTAAAAGCTAGTATGTATCTTACGGCCTTTAAGAGACTGAAATATTTATGATGGCCAATTGAATAAACACATGTATCATCATTTCAGGAAAGAACAAGCATCTGCTAGCTGTGGGATGCCTGCTTCAGAGGATGGAACTGTGTCCTCATTTTAATTCTGAAGAACACATAGAGATTCCTACTAAGCAGTGGCTCATCACATCACCTCGTATGGTCATCAACAGCATCACATGCTTTCAACTCTTTAATCAAGAGGCCAAGAAGTACTACCCAAGATCACATCTGGTAACTAAGTAAAATTCAGAGAAGCTAAACGCTGTCATCTGGGCCACCCACCATCACTACGGTGGTCTGCTTTTCCTTTCTTTCGCTCACCATATGTCCACACCCCTTTCCTTACAAATGATGAAGGCTGTGTCTCTATGCTTCTGCCTATGTTTCAACTGAGATGTTGGGGCTAATGTCTCTGGGTCCCCTCCCCTCATTCGTGACTCCATCACAAGGTTTAAGGAATTGTTGCATCTTGAGCTAAATGGCCAAAGAGTTCAACCAGGGAGCAGATTAGAGATTCTTTAGATGATGTGAACACTCGACATCCTCTCGAAGAAAGCGAGGAGAGAAATGAAGAGCAAAGACTCACCTCATTCTGGCCCAGATAAAACATGGAGCCCGGGGCTGAAGATGCAGATGTTCTATGCTCTGGTCTGATCCTTATGCCCAGAAGAGGGAGGAGGAGGTGGAAGAGAGTATGATTTGCTCTAGCCAAGCGGAACAGTATAGAATTGCCTCGTTCTCTAGCAAGTATGGTCACTAGAAGTGTGAAGACACACCTAGGGAAGGAGGGAAATTAAAATCTTAGGAGAATCTGATAGAAAAAGCTGGAAAATAAACACAAGACCATAGTGTTGGATGCTCTGAGAGTTTGAAGAGAGTTGGGGACAGGAGTGAGTGGTGTCATTAGAGATGACGGACTCTGAAAAACAAACTGAGGGTTCTAGAGGGGAGGGGGTGGGGGGCGGGTTAGCCTGGTGATGGGTATTAAAGAGGGCACGTTCTGCGTGGAGCACTGGGTGTTATGCACGAACAATGAGTCATGGAACACTACATCAAGAACTAATGATGTAATGTATGGTGATTAACATAACAATAAAAAATTATTAAAAATAAATAAAATAGAATACCTAAAAAAAAAGAGTCAGTGGTGTCTGTATTTTATTTTACTTTTTTATTTTATTTTACTTTATTTTATTTTATTTTACTTTATTGTGGCCAGAACCCTTAACATGAGATCTACCCTCTTAAAATTTTGCATAATATGGTATATACATACAATGGTATGTTATTTAGTCTTGAAAGAGAAGGAAATCCTGCAACATGTGATGACATGAATGACCTTGAGGACATTCTGCTGAGTGACCTAAGCCAGTCCCAGAAGGACAGGTGCTGTACAATTCCACTTACGTGGGAAGGAGTGGCTTCCTTCTGGGCTGATGTCTCGTCCCAGTTGCAGTCTCCTCTGATTTCTCCCATTTATGCTCAGGGCTTTCATTTCCCAGCAGCCAAATGAGGATGTCTTATAAGAGCAGAACCTCTGTGAAGATCCGGGGCCATCAGATGAATTTATAGGCACCACCTATTTTCTGGAACTGACAGTTACTTCAGTAGAGCTTACTACGGGCTGTGACCCCTCTCGAAGCCCCAAACCCACCTAAGAAAGAAGCATTACTTCAGGCCCTCCAAGAAGTAGATGCCAAGCCTGGATCTGTCATGCAGGGCATTTAGCTGAGAAAATGGGGAGAAAGCTGGAGGAGGCTGGGAGGCCATCAGGCCATGATGCAGATCTGACCTCTGTAAGGAGAGATGGAAGGAAGAGGGAGGAAAGGAAGAAAAATGGAGGAAGAAGGATGGGTAAGAAGAAAAGCAGGTCGTGGGGTACAGTACAATTCCACGCAAATCTCAGCAAGGCTGGTGGGTCCTTAGGTCAAAACAGAGCTGTGCACTTCCCTATCCCTGGGGCCGGCTTCCCCCCATGGGCAGAACCTCTGCACCACGGCTCCAGAGCTGAGGGTGGGGGCACTGGCCCACTTCTCCTGGAGTGAGACCCCTGTTCTCTGAGGGTCCCTGGGTGGAGTGGTAAGCCCTGGTCTTTCTGACTTGCGGCTCCCAGTGTGGAACCTTCAGGCTACGAGCAAACCAGAATGAGAAAGATTGAGGCTTAGGAGTCTTGGCCTGCTGTTTCGGGAATAGAGGGTCCACCCTATGAGTGGGCACTGGGTGGAGAAAGGGAGCCCAGACCCCTGGGTTGCACTTGCTAGGAATAGAGTTTCTACATCATGGAGCTGGTTGGGATGAAACATGCTGGTAGTCTGTGCCAGGAGAAACTGAGGGAGCCCTGTGTCCTCAACCACCCCCACAAGGAGTAGAGCTTCCATCACACTGGGCTGGGGGGGGTGGGGATTGGGGGGTTGCAGGAGGCATGGCTCAAATGCTCCAGAGTCTCAATGCTCTGACTAAGATTTAGATTTTCTGGAATAAGTGTTTCCTCATTTGCTGTCTATTTTTGGGACAACCTTCAGAGACTTTGAATGGTTGTTTTTAAATGTCCAGCAGTTTGGTTTCTTTCTCTCGGAAGAGGGTTCTCTAATCTCCTTGTGTTGTCTTTCCAGAAGCGCCTCTCTCCCCAGGAAAACTGTACGCAAACAGGGGCTAGCCCTGGGCTGTCATTTAGCACCTCTTGCTCTAGCATGATTTTGTGCCACTGAGAAAGCATGGTTACTCTGGGGATGCTGGGGAATCTTTTCTGTGGTCTTCTCCCTCTGGCCCCTCAGCTAGGAAAATGTGCCATGCCCCGTGTGTGGACACGGCCCCAGTTTTTTCTTGCTTTAGAATAATCACAGTCCTGCGCCACGTGTTTTCCAATGACTGAATACGGTTGTCTCCTATATTCTACTTTTTTGGTTGCTTTTACTTGTATAGAGCAACACAGCGAAGACTATTGGGTTCTGTGAAGTGATCACGTCACAGAGCAGCTGGCTATGGGGGGTGGAAAATACCTCAGAGAAACCTGGCCGCCTCTGTTCTTTCACTAATGCTGTCATGTGCCCAGTAATCATCTGCTCCTTGATCCTCTGGCTCCTGAGTGCAGGTAAGCCCCCCTTCTGAACTTGTCAGCCCCCAGCTCCAAGGCTTTCATCCCTGCCACCAGACTCCCTCAGGGACTAAGCCTCCGTCTTCTGTCTGCTTTCTTCCCAGGCACCCTTGATGCAGAAGTCACCCAGACTCCGGGACACCTAGTCAAAGGGAAAGGACAGAAAGCAGAAATGCATTGTGTCCCGATAAAGGGACACAGGTATGTTTCCTGGTATCAGCAGATCCCAGCAAAAGAGTTCAAGTTCTTGACTTCTTTCCAGGATGGCAACATCTTTGATAAAACAGGAATGCCCAAGAAGAGATTTTTAGCTGTGTGTCCCCAAACCTCACCCTGTAGCCTAGAGATCAAGCCTACAGAGCTGCAGGATTCAGCTGTGTATTTCTGTGCCAGCAGTGAATCCACAGTGTTAAATATTAGCTAATCATAATACACAAACATCCTGGGTCTGGCTCAGAAAGGAGCTGGCAAACTAGGTTGGCAGGAAATAACAGAAACCAACTAGAGCTAGCTAAGCCAAATGGGAATTTATTGCAAGGCTAAACGTAAGTCCCATAGAACCCCAAAAGAAGAACACAGGAATTTCTCAGGAGTGAAGTAGAATAAAGTCCTGGAACCATGACATGACTGATTTGACAGCTCTTAATTTCCCTTTTTCCACACTGTTGGCCCCCTTTTTCTCCCCATTATTATAGACTGTCCTTTCCAGGGCTTAGATCTCATAGCGAGCAGAAGGTTACAGATGAAATATCAGTCCTCCAGCCTTGTTGCGAGGACCAACTTGACTTTCTTTCATGTAAGATCACAAATCCAGAAAACAGAGAACAATTCAGTCCTATTTTACTCAAGAACATGCTCTTGGAAAATTCAGCTTTAGCCAAGGGGATCGGGTTATTTCAAACAACATGACAGCGGGAGGCCTGTCACTTTGACCTTACAGATCACAGATTTCAAAGACAGGAATTCTCCAGTTAGGGGCCAGGACACCCAGTAAGTACCCATCACAGAGGAGGAGTACCAGATACAGAGAACATAGGATAAAAAGAAGGAATTAGAAAGGGGACGAAGATCCTTAGTCTTTAGAACAATGTCAGACCAAGTGAAGACTGGTTAATTTCTTTTCAAGGAGCTAAATCCAGGTAATACAAAAAGCATGTTAATTTTCAGTGTGACAACTTCACACCCTACTAAGTCAGTAATTAGTTTCTATGGAGCTGAGGGAACAGGCAGATTAATGTGTCCTCGGTGGAAAAATACCTGATGTGCAGACAATTGAAAACTGATGTGCAGACAATTGAAAAATCCTCTGGTATGTGATCCAAATTTTAATGAGGGACAATGCATTCAATATCAATGGAAGGAAAGGAGGTATTCCTTCATTAACTCTACCTGGAGAGGTCACTGAAATTATACAGAACAGATACAGAATTCAAAATACCTCTGTTAAAATTTAGTGATCCATTCTGTTTATAAAACTGTTCATTTCAGGACACCTGGGTGGCTCAGTCAGTTGAGTGTCTGACTCTTGATTTCGGCTCGGGTCATGATCTCGGGGTTGTGGGATCGAGCCCCACATTAGGTACCACACTCAGTGGGGAGTCTGCTTAGGATTCTCTCTCCCTCTGCCCCTCCCTCTGTTCTCTCTCTCTCTCTCTCTCTGAAATGAATAAATAAATCTTTTTTTAAAAAAATACTTCTAAAAAGTCTGTTCATTTCTATACCACCCACCACTCAGCTTTAGAGAAGTTTATATATTCTCTCTAGTCACTTCTGCTCTTATTTCAATATAAGCTGAACCTAGTTGTCTTACCCCCAGAAGTCCAAATTTACTTCATTTCTCAGGCAAAATTTCACTCTGACCTCTTAAAACAGAAGCTCTCACTTTCCTGGTCTACCTAATGTTATGGCTGTTTATTTCAGCTTCCTTTTCCAGCCCTCAGGAGTGAGTCCTCCTGAGTATCCATATCTGTTCCTCTCTGGGTAACAATGCACAATTAGTGAACCACACTTTTGCTTTCATCACAGAAGAATTATTCCTCTGGGTGCTGTCTTCAGCTTTTTCAAGGAATATTTCCATTCTTATGAAACTATTCTCCTAAATCTTAAAATTATAAATTTGCTGGACAAAAAGCTGTTCCTTTCTCCTCTTACTTGATCTCTTTGCAGCATTTGACAATATTGACTTTACCCTGAACCCTGGAAACTTCTCTTCCCTCGGCTTCACTCACCTCATTATCAATTAGGTTTCTTATTTCCCCTCTATTCTTTTTTGTAAATGTAGTTTCTGGAACTTAAATCTATCCACTAGTTTTCCCATTCCCAGGAAAATTCTCAGTCTTTAAATTTTAACATTCTAATGTAGTGCATAAAGTGGCCTTCTCTTTTGTTACTTTGGCCTATTAAAAATCTCCACTCAGAAGAGATTGAAACCGTTGTCTGAAATCATTTCTTTCCTCAGTTTCACCTGAGGGACAGGTTAAACAGACATATTCTAGGGCAGGATCAGAATTTCGGAGTCAGAATTTCTGGAAGTGGGTTACAGGAATACATCTAATCTTACCAAGCCCCTTGCGGGGCTTGTTCATGCTAAAGTCTGAGAACTTCTGCCAACATTTCCAAGATCGGTAAAAGAGCACTCTCGCACAGTGCTCCACCATCTTCTTGTTCCTGTTATTTTCACTCGTTTTCCCTTTTCCACCTCCTCTTGTGTTTTCCTTAAACTTCACTTTTCCTAAGAATGCTCAAGTGGTTTTGGAGCCTGTTTACGTCACCCATGTAACAAAATAAACATGAGGTCACACATTTGGACCAAAGGTTCCCCTTTCCTATGGAAGGTGCCCTGAGGCTGTGGGTATTCCCAGGGACTGTGGCTTCACAGCCAGATTCTACCTTGTGGGGCCAAGGGAACCCAAAACTTCCATTCCTCTCTGCATCAGAAACCACTAATGGAGAGCCTCATCCTGCCACTGATCCTGCCTTGGACACCTGGTTCCTCTGCTGGGTGACTCACTTTCACCTGGGGGCAAGTGAGCTTGGGACTGCTTGGGAATTTGTGTTGATGTTTTCTTAGGCCCACTCTCTATGGCTTCTGTCTTCTCCCACAGGACATACAGACCCTGCAATCAGCCAGATCCCCAGCCACAGGATCACCAAAGATGGGACAGAAGGGGATTCTGAGATGCAATCCAATATCCGGTTACCTATTTGCTTACTGGCGCCCACAGAATCTGAGGCAGGAAACAGAGTTTCTGATTTCCTACCAAAACACTGCAGCTGAGTTGGGATGCCCAAGGAAGGGGTCTCAGCTAAAAGACCTAATGGAACATCTTCCACCCTAAGACCCCTCCCGAGGAGCTGGGGGACTCAGCTGTGATCTCTGTGCTGGTGGCCTTGGCACGGTGCAGCTGAGCCAGTTCCTTCCAGTGCACAAACTCCTTTGTGCCCCTTTCCTCGCCCCTGAGCTCTAGGGAGACATTTGAAAAGGCCACTTCCCAGTCTTCTGCCTCTGAAGAAAGAAAGAAGTGGGTTGACTGATGTGGCCCCAGCTGCAAGCAGGAGAGGGCAAGACTATAAATTAGCTCTTAAATTATAGGCTGGGCATGCTTTGGGACATGAGCTTCTGAAACTCCTAAAAACAGGCAGTATTGGGTAGTCTGTGGATTCCAAGTTTAGAAATAAAGCTTCCCCCCCAAAAAAAAAATTTGACTACAGAGATCTGATATCTGATATTGATATTACCTAACCAAATCTCTAAGAAATTCCTACTGATTTTACTGCAAACATGATTCCTCTGTAGACTCTTTCCCTCCACAGAGGCCAATGACTTCCTTGTTTGTGGAACAACAGATTGTTGACCACTACAGGTTTATTATAGTCCTTTTATCACAGATCTGCCTCCTCCACAAGACTGACCATCTCTCAAGGACAGTGACTTAATGGGAATAACTGTAAGGGAACAGCAACCACAACCCTCTCGAGGGGAAGGAAGCAGGAGAAACACCGATTAGTAATCCCCACTCAGAGACTCTTTTGGGAAATTCAAGTCTCAAATCCAGGGGAGCACAGAGTTCGACTTTCTGATTTCACAAATTTCATCTTTCCCTTCTCTCTCTTGAGATCTCGGATCCACAGACAGTGGAATTGGAGTCAAGATATCCGCTTCCTAATCTAAACTCCGGCTTTCTTTTTTTTTAGCTGTAGGTTGTTGGCAAGAGCCTTCACCCCTTATGACTCAGAATTCTCCTCTTTAAAATTAGAAACTTGCACAACTTGCTCTCCAAGATTTGACATGAGGATGACTCAGGATATATCTCCACATTTTCCCCACACGTGGGACCACCAGGGATTGCTGTGGAAGACATGTCGCTACCATCTGGCAATAACTGAGCAAACTGTCAACGTCGATAACACAGATCCAGGGAAGATCTGGTTGGAAGGGGCAGTCTAGATCATTCCTGTGTGCCTCAGCATTGACGCAGACTTGAAATGCGGTCATGTCGAAGAAAATGGTATCTATTTCCCACAATCTCCCCCACTGCTGCCAGATGGCAGTAAAGGAGTGCGTCAGAGAGTTGACCACGTACCGCGGTCAAATGCTCTGGTTTACCATGGCAGCCCTGGTTCAGAACTGTTGTCCTGGAAAAATTATTAATAGCACACTCTTTCACATATTAAAGAGTCCTGGTTCAGACAGTAAGCTAAGAAAGCCATTGTAGATTATAACACAAACTATAGCATCTCTCTGTTAAAAGAAAATCATTTATTAATATTGTAGTGAATTCTGTTAAAGAAAATTTTATTCAGACATTTGTTAAAATGATAAAACAAACTTCACTCAGGGGAACCGTGGCAGTGGAGTACTGTGGTAGGGAGACAGATCGCGCTCAACTCCAGCTCCAAACAGGAAAAATAAGAGTTTATAGACAAGAAGCAAGGAGGGGGAGGGGAAATGGATGGACAATTACCAAGAGGTGATATTGGGGTAAGTGGGGATCCTGGGTAAACTGACCTAGCAGGACTCTTGCTGAAGGCACACCAGGATGATCAGATATCACTTGGGGGATAGTCACTGGAGGCAAGAATTTGGTCCTATATCAAGGGTACTCATATATTGAGGGTAGGAAATTCTCAGCAGGATTCTTACTAACCACCTCAGCAGGATTCTTACTAACACTGGACTCTTGAGGACTGCCCATGAATGGGACCTAACTGAAAAAGAGGAGAATGGACACTTGAGATACAGAACAGACAAAATTTTAACACTTATCTGTTGTGAGAGGTGAGGGAGATGAAAGACATGAATATACCCTTAGATTTCAAGAATAACAAGACAGTCAACAAATCTGGGGATCAAAGATGAAAGAGAATCTTCAACAAAAGGTCATTTTAAAATTGAAGAATACTTGAGGCACCCACATGGATATT